GTTTATCCTCAGGTGTAAGTGGTTTGCCAGTGTGACTTGTTTCACCGCTCTGTGAGCAGGATGACCAATGCAAAGCGGGCAGTATCATATCACATCACTGTGTTTGAGTAACCCCACCTGTTCTCGTCCGTAATCGCACCCCCAAAAAAAGCTTTTTCGGGCACTACTTATAGGTCTGGATATAGCTATGCTGCATCATAATCTCCGATATCTTTCTATAAATGGTTCATTTCTTGTGGCACCGTCCATCAATATGATCAGAGAGGAAATGAAGGTTCAAATGTAGTTTGCGGTTTTGCTGGGCAAGTCATCCAGTGACGTGCTCCGCTGGCCAATAAACAGTTGTTGTCAATTTACGTCAAAATCGGCACCTCAGAGCAGTCCACTTGGAGCCACAAACAAGGTGGTCCCATAAACCGGTCTAAGCAGGGGTGGGTGCCAACAGCGGGCAGGCTCTTAACTGGTGTGGTGTGGAAACTATGAGAGTCGAGACTGTGGCAAAGTGCCAAAAGTGAGTGAGTGAATAGAGAAACAGAGAAGGAATAGTGATGGAGGTAGAACAGCTGTCCAAAAAACAGGTATAAAATGGATGTGGAGCCTGCATTTGTCAGAAAACTCATTTCTGCTGCCATTTTTAAACAATTGTGGTCTCCCCCCATTTCCGTTTCATCTATAATCCTGACTGACTTCATTAGATATTAGTGGTGGCTATCAGACATGATATTCCTGGCCTCTGTCCTCCCACACAGTAGCACCACTAAGCATGCCGTCTGCTACTCGAATCACAAAGCATTGTGTCACCGAGACATGGAAAACAATGATGGTCACGACTCGCATATAGACAAATAAGACTCCCCTGGCTGCTCAACGAGGGAATACACAAAGATACAGATATTAAAAATGGATGTTGGCACATGCGTACGCCCCCAAAAGCCCTTGCAACCAGATGCATTTACACAATAGGACAATGAAATCAGCTGCAAAATCCATCTCTCTCTTGATTGCCCCACAACACACCTTGAGTCCCTTAACCCATCCCAGCGTCTCCCTCTAACTGTGTGTTTAAGCATCACAAAGGGGATTACACAGGTGCAGAAATACTGCATGATCAGCTTATTAATGCAATTTTCAAAACCAGGATTTACATGAACGGGGACTGAATAGGCCTTTAGATCAGTGTTGTCTTCTCTTTTGTACACAATTTGATTTAGGCATTCAACAGCAAATTATTTTCTGTAGCTTTCATTGAAGCAACAAAGAAGGCAAATTACCATTCTAAAGAGCAAAGGCTTCATCTTTTAAGCTGCATGGGTATAAAATGCTTTAATTTCTACAGTGGCAAGAAGAACAGAGAGCTGTGTGCTATAAAAGAAGGGGAGGATCTTCTCATACTGACCATTTGAGTAACTTAGTCATTTTTCAAGTATTTGCATTCTCTAGTCAACAAAAAAAACTACTCTCCAATGATTTTTCAGCAATGCCAATATGGTTGATTAACTAGCATCTAGTTAAGTTGGTGCACAGGCAGCAGGACAGGAAAAAAAAAAAACATATTGATTTTCTACATTGAGCTGTTTCCCACAGTCACATCTATAGACCCAGAGATGCTCAGATACACAGGCACCAATTTTTGTATTCTAAAACTGTTGGCATCTTTTCATCTGCAAGTTTCCTAAAAATCATACATTAGTATTCCTTTCTTCACCAACCTACGAAGATGGCCACACCTAAACACAACTGTGCATGCTACTGAATGGCTCGTCCAAAGCTCTTTTCTTCCCTCTTCCACCTGTCAGACCTACTGCGGCACCCCCCTGAGAGACGTAGAGCGCAGGAAATGAGGTAAGGGTGACTCAGAGGTGACTCCCAACAGATTGCTAGATCCTGCTAGTTTGCATCTGCTACACACAATGGCAAAGCTGAGCCTCACCCAGGCCTGTCGTTGCTCAAGTAAGAGGAAGATGAGGAGAAATGGGGGGAGGGGAGTGTAAAAATGACGGGTGCTTGTTGGTGGGAGCAAGAAAAGTAGAGCAGATATGCAACAGCGTATTCCACTGGGAAGTATGGAATGGCAACATGCAGCCTCCTCCCACAGAAATCTGTGCTAGTGTTCAAGACAAAATGTGTCCATCTGCAGCTTGTTGAGCCTCACTACAGCTGGACAGTGCATTGATTTTGAAACCAGTATGCGCCACTCAAGTATAACTGGAGCCCACGGATGCATGGAAGATGGAGGAGGATTACGGGTGAGAGCTGAACCTAAAGTGTGACCTTTAATCATTGTTGTGTGGTTTAAAGGGTTTGTCAGCTGGGCAGGTTTGGTGCTGATGCTTTAAGACAGGAACAAAGAGATGGCTGAAAGGGGGGAAGGGTAGTTTGGGGGGGGTGGCTGGGAAGGGTGATGCCTGCCCGCCTGGTTGGCTTTTATTCTAGCATCAACATGCATCAATGAGCAAACAGTCCTAGTGTGCAGAGAAAGACAAGCTTTCTGTTTTTGTCAACTACCAAGATCAATAAACAAGGAAATGACATCACTGCAAACATGTCCCTAAAATATATAGATCGCCTTTATTTTTCTTCACCGTCTGTCATACAAGTATTTGTTTTATTGCTAGGTTCAGACATTTCCTCATTCTCTCGTCAGGATGAGAAATCCTCTTAAGTACATCCTTTCAATTCCAGGGAACGAGCGTGAGTTTAAATATAAGCTGTACACACGTCTATTTAGCAGACAGAAAAAGAGTAAAGCAAAGCATGCAAGTGCATTTGACGGCCTGTCAGGAGTCAGTGGCTTAATACAGATTAGATATCATGCTAGAAGTCTAGTGAGATGCAAGAAGAGGACTTAAAGCATCTAAAAGAAACTAGCCATCATGGCTAAACAGAGGCAGCTACAGCCAAAGTTGCAAACCACAGCACATTGAAATGACTATGCCCCAGGAGAGCAGTTAAAAACAGACATAAGAAAGAAACGCAATTTCTGTAATTGTCGGGACTCGTTTATCCATTTTCAGAAAACATTTTCTCCCTAACTTCACAAATGCCCGAGAGGACAATGAAAGCTGCTGTGTTCGAGAAACCTGGTTTGTTAGCTAGCTGGTGACGGAGGACATTTAATCCAGATAAAGAACACATAAGGCGATCTGCTCATCCCAGCATTCCATGAACACAGGCTTCGTGGAAAAACACTCAATCCTGAAACGAGACCTTGCATAACTAAAACATTTGAAAAGGTATGTGCATATTAGGGGGTCCAGGGGGTTATAACCACTTCTTCTTCTATGACTACTGCTACCAAGAACCACCCCAATTCTCCCAGAGGTTATTTTTGGGTGTTCGGGCATATCGGTTACTGCGTCAGACACTTTTAAGAGCTAAGTGCATTGATTGATTTTTGATAGCCCCAGAGTTAGAAGGGAGAAAGGAAATGAGAAAAAGCTTTTGTGTTCTAATTTTCTAATCTTACTCAGCTCTGTAATCTCCCTGCAATCTTTATCATTCCATTTTGCTTCATGAATTATAAAATGGAATCAATTTCTTGGGATATAAACACACTAAAGCAGCTTTACGCCTTTATTTGAACCCATTCCGCTGCTATTGTTCTTGCTGTGCCCTTTAACCCTACTTTTTTTCTTTCAAAATATGAAGAATGAAGAAGTAATGTATGAGTGATTATCAGTTCTTGACAAGAAAAATACATTAATTTGATATATAATGAATCTAAGAGAAACGGGTTTGAAGCCATAGAGATGCTTAGGAAGGGAGGTAGAGGGAGAAATTGTCACTTCAGGGTAGACGGTTGAATCTGCCTCTGATAATAATAAATAAATCAAACAAATGACAGTTACTCTTGGCTGCCCAGCAAAGGCATACCACATGATGGGCAAGACTTGCACTGTGACACACATATATCCACACGCCTACACACATGCAGTCATCTGCTGTCAGTGCTACGAGGCACATGCTGAGTTCACACATGCAGCAAGGCCAGGATTTCCACCAGAAAACTATCAGCGAGGGCCTTACAGAAACACATTTGCTATCAGAGCTGCCCACATTCTCTGATAATTTCTTAAACTAAATTAAAAGCACAGTATCGTTTACGGGATAAATTCATCAAACTCAACTCCTTGCATCAGTGCTCATTTTCACCATCTTGCACCGTTTTGACATCAAGCAGCAGTGCAAAGCTAATGCTAATACATCACCACGTTAACCAAAGTTACGAAAGGGAAGTTGATCTGAGTCAGTCAGCTGTGGATTCCTCTGACGTCACAATGTTGTGTAAGTGCATTCAACCTTTATTCTTGCACATTTTCTCTGAGCGGCCAGTGCAGACTGGAGCCTCTTTTTTTTTTTTTATTGCTTCGCTCTCGCAATTGATCATTTTGGTGAGTCAAGTCACACTGACTCAAACGAATACCATATTTAAGCAGAGCCATTTCACTGTAAGTGCAGGGTGAAGACCCAAACTGGGCTGTGTGTGTGCATGCAAGGCTTCCAGGAACTCTATGCTAATAAAGTGAGTGAGAAGGCTGTCATTTGATGATCCAGCGCTCTGTTTATGAGTGAGAGAGACTACGGTATACTCAGTCTCCATGCAGCCGCAGCACACTTCCTGGAAACTTGCCTGTGCATGTGTGCGTGTATGTTTCAGCGTGTGAAATATAGAAGGAGTGGAAAGAGATAGCAGATAAAGGTAGAAACACAAACGCACACAAGATCACAGCTTTTACCAGGATACAGGAGGGTGTTGCTGCTACACCCCAACAGCAACCCAATGGTTCACCAACTTATTTATTTTAAGAGACCAAGACTAATAATACAAATGCTGCATCACTTCTATGTCACTTATTTGGTCATTTCTCTGTAACTAACGAGACTTATATGTCCAAAATACACACAAGAGCTAAAGCTAATAAAAAGAGTGCAAGACTATAGCAGTGTTGGTCACATTGCAATATATTTTATTATAAGACGGATAAAAGCAAAACCCTCACCTGAGTTTCCGTTAGACTCTCCAACGCTTGCATTACCGACTGCTCTGGTCTTGATGCTTGAGACTACACAACGATAAAAAAAATAAGTCTTTAAATGAACTTCAAGCACATGCACAGTGATACTGATGCAACAACAATAGGTTGGTTTCTTTTTATGTTTTAGATCAACTGATCCTTATTTCAGAGCGGAACACAAAGAACAAGAGGATGAATCTTACCATTAATCCTGCTTCAACTGTTGGTACAAGTGTTAACTTGCTCCCATCAGAGATGCCGAGATCCTGGAGTTTGCCTGAACTTAGTCGCCTGAAGGGTGAGACCGAACGAGATAATTAGACTGTGCTGACAGTATCTTCTTTCTTCAGACACACAAACACCCGTCAGCCTAGAGGAGGGAGAGGGGTGGGGGGGGCAGACTTCAAAACTAGTTTGGAAAAGAGCCGTGGGTGAAAAGCTTCATGAAAGAGAAGTATTGATTGGGCTGTCATTTTTCAATTTCAAGTATAGTGGAGCTTGACAAGTGCTTGCAGTGGATATTTGGCACCACTGCCACTTGCCTAAGTGGAGGCAAGTATTTTCTCCTGGCTGTACCAACAAGAAGCAGAAACTCCAAGCTACAGAACGTTTCTGATCCATAGAGGAAATGAGAACCGTTGTGAAATATTTACACAGCTGAAATGTAACTTATTATATCAGCTGGCTCTTAATTAAAAAATAAAAAAAAACATTTAGCCACATATTAAAATGTTGCTGCCTTCAGTGCAGAACAGGAGTCTGGTGGCAGCACAGCAGATCATCACTACAAACACCCAACCATGTCCACATCTTTTCTTTCTTTATGGTTAGGCGGTACACGTTGTTGGACAAACCTTGCTCCACAGGCCTGACCCAAATCTCACCCCATGCAGCTGAACAAAGACCATCAGTCCTGACTTGCAGTGGGTCTGCAGTCACAGGAGGAGATTAAAACGGGGCATTCGGGTTTTAAAAGGGAAGATGCGAGTTATGGGGCGATTACAATAAGTGGGACAGGAGGAGAAAGAGGCCAAAGCACAATGCTGACTGTTTGCATGCTTGAAAAAAAAAAAAAAAGTCTCCTTTTTCTATTTTTGAACAACACTACTTGCACCATTTTATCTCTTTTTAACTAAAGATGTGTAGGGTTGAACAGTCCATTCACCCAATGCAGCTATGTTTTAACTGGGAGCACCTCACATAAGGAGAAACCATGAAGGAAAAACACTTGCATGCTGATATATATGACCTAAACCTGTGCAGTGGGAACAATAAAATGTGCTACCTAGTTTTCTGTTGTGCAGACCGTCTCTGCACCCCCAATTATGAATAAATAAATAAATAAATAAAAAAGGCTTTTGCAGCTGTACTCACGTTTCTTTGTGCAGCAGAGCAAGCCTCTCTTTTGGTACTTTGAGCCTCTGCGACAGCCTCCTCTTCAGTCCCTCCACGGTCTCCTCCAGGGGTAGGGAGAGCTCGAAGCGGGTGCCCGTGGTGGAGTGGATGTACAGATTCATGGAGGGCTCGGTCGGGACGGCCTCGCTGCAGGACGAAGCCCCGCGACTGGTGCAGCTCCGGGCGCTGGGATGCTGGTCCATCCGATAACCTGTGGTCAGAGAAGGACGGCGGGGAGGGCGGTGAGACAAGACGAGCAGAGCGAGAGGGGGGGAGGAAGGAAGGTGCTGAAGACGATCCCGTCGCTTCAACTAGCGTCCCTCGCGCTGCGCGCAAATCAAAGGCTGCATTCAGGAACCGCTCTCTCTCTCTCTCTCCTGAAGCTTTCCTTTCACTCGCGCCTCCCGAGAGTCAGAACCAAACCAAGTCCTCTCTGGTCATAGGATCCATGAAATCAAGTCTACAAAAAAAAATTCTTTTTTTTTTTGGTTGGTTTTTTTTTTCTTATATCTTTTTTTTGTTGTTTCAAATGATGTTCGTTGTTGCGTTTTCCAGCTTGCAAGCACGTCTTCCGAAATGCTACATAGTAGAGCGAATGCCACAAAACGCCATGGATGGACACTCTTAGGTGATTACCTTTAAAAAAAAAAAAAAAGTAAGGTCTGGATTAAATTAAAAAAAAAAAAAAATTAAAAAAAGATTATTGTTGAATGTTTCGGGTTTAGCACAGAGCACACGGTCCGGAGCTGCGAGCCTCGTCGTTCGGCTGGAAGAGAGAGGCTCTCCGCTGCGCGCTCACTCCTCCGAGCAGCCCCTGCAAAGTACCCACAATGAACATTGTCACAAAGTAACACCACTTCCACCATCGACGAAAATCCGCCCACCGAGGCAGCTCGACCAATCACAGCGGAGCGTCCGCTGATGCCAGCCAATGGGAGCGCGGGATCCACACCCACGTGGAGGGCAGACGAGTTTAGGCCATTCATAATAAATTACAGCGCAGAACAAAGTGTGTGCCCACACCACAGCAGCCTGGATCCTACTCTCACGTCTGCCTCTAGCTCCAGGATTCAAAAGCGCATAAAATAGTTATGTTTCTTACCGAGTGAAAAACAACACGCCAGATTTATTTATTTATTTATTCGCTTTCATTTTTGACACCTTCCCACTCAGAGAGCTCTGTGCCAGGATGCACCTCTTTAAAAAAAAAAAGTGCTGCTGAGTGGGAAGTGCAACAAGCTCAAAAATAGCAGGTCCTTAAAATAAGAACCACATACATCACAGTGTCTAAAACATACTGCAAAGACCAAACAAACCGGCTCCGTCACTGAATGTGTTGATTATTCAAATGCTGACAATGTTCACTGTTTTCTAATAGCTACAATATAAAAAAAAAAAAGTGTTGTAAAACTATAGATCTGAGGATGTGCTGCAGAGACACATCCTCTTCCTCCTCAGCAGCACGCACAATGCAAATCCCACAGAAAGATCTACTCCCTTAAGGAAAAGGGATTCCAGGTAACTCGTAGTTTAAACAGCATAGAAAGTCAGTGGAAAGTTCATGGAATACAGTTTAGAGTGTTTTCCGTTTAGGAGACGATTTTGGCAAGACAACTAACTGGGACAAGTGGCAGCCAGAAGGACAAACTGGAAACACATCATTGATGGGGGGCATTTACTACTTTTAAACCTCTGAGGTGCTAAAATAAGATGCTTAGTCGCCACCCAGTGGCTTGGAACAAGCTTTCACGAGCCAGACTCCAGGTGATCCATTCATTGTGTTCAAATGATCAGATTCTTTTAACCCTTATGCGCATTCACTGAACGCACACAAACAAGTTGAATTCAAACACGAGTTAACTCGGGTCTGTGTTGATTTGGGGGCAATTCTTGAACGCGCGCATTATGCGCCCCAACATGGTTGTCACTGTTTAAAAAAGGTGATTATTTCCAATTAGCAGTAACCTGAAGACATGTTTAGTCCGCTCCTGAAGTAAGAGTCACATTCGAGTTTTTTTTTTTTTTTTTGATGATGATTATAAAATTAGCCACGAAGTTGACAAAAACAAACTTGACTGTCCCTCTGAGAAAATAAAGTTGAATAAGCTTTGAGGCGATGACGTCACAGGAACAAGCTAACGAAGTTTGTTAAAAAGCTAACTCACCAATTAGCGAGGCGAAAACTAAGACGTCCCGTGTTTCAGTCTGCGCCCACAGCTTTGGCATAAAGTCCGACCCGCGTGGAGATAAAAAAAAAAAAAAAAAAAAGCTCGTGTGTAAAGATAAATCCAACTGAATATCCGTCAGCAGTTTCTCGAAGTCTTTTAATGGTGTCCAGCGCGAGACGTCACGCGCCACGAGCCGGTGAGTTCTGAAACGTCCCCGGCTTTTCTCTTGGCAATATAAACTGGGAAGGTGAGACTCCTCTTAAACAGCCTCCCTCTCGGATATAGGTGGAGAGTCGTGTTCTTGTTGTGTCAACATATGATTTAAGGTGGCTTCTCCTCCCCTGCTGCCGCAAAGACTGCGCCCATATGAAAAAACCCGCAGCAGACCAAGATTTCCAAGTGTGTCAGACAGAGCCTGCCTTTCTGGAAAGGTGAGCCGGTTCCTGCGGGCATGGCGGATAAGTTTACCCATCTGAAGAGAAACCGATGTTTTCTAATGACCCGCCACCTTAACAACAGCTCAATGAAAAGAATGCCTTGCTGTCAGGGGTGTTGCCAGATCTTCGTGACATCAAAATGTTGCCTGGCAACCAGGCAGGTAAACAGGCTCCAAGGATACCGGCCGTGTTCGCAGGTAAACAAAAACTCTGCTGGCATGCATTTCCTGAGAGTTGTTGAACCAAATCAACAAATAATAAGCAAATACATGAATCTGATTGTTTGTACAGACTGAGGGAAATGAAATGCATTTATTTAATTTTCTGTTCTTTCATGAGAAATGCAGGTCAGTCCTTTCAGTTGATTGGTGGGAAGTAGCATGTACGATCAGTTGATCACATGTTAAAGTTTTCTGAAAAGTATACCAAGTACTGAGCAGGGAAGTTAAAAAGTTGTTGAGCGTCAAGGCATCAGTGGTGCAGGTGATCATCGGAGCACTTAGTGCTGTGAGCCCGTGTCTCGGAGCAAGAAACCCAATCCCTAACTGCTCCCTGGCTGCTTATATAGCTGCCCATTGCTCCACCTGGGTGTATCCCAACATGTGATGGGTTAAATGCAGAGAACTAATTTCGCCATGGGAACATACAATGATGACAATCTCGAACTTCCCTTCCCCTTCTCATACTTAAGGAATGGGAGTGGTTCAGACAGATCCCAGGAACAACCTCAGACATATCTGTCCAGAAGAATGCAGTTCTAGGAACAGCTAAAATTCTGCACAGAACACTCAAACTTCTAGATCTTTGGTGGAGGACATGAAGTGGAATCACCCACGTGGAAAAAATAGGACAAGCTGTCATACAAACATACATACATACATACATACATACATACATACATACATACATACATACATACATACATACATACATACATACATACATACATACATACATACATACATACATACATACATACATACATACT